ATATCCGATGTTTACTGTGATTTTAATCGAAAGTGGAAACTTCTTCCCTTTTAGTTCGGTGCGCTATTAATAAACTGGTCTTTTTTTCACAGACGTAGTTAGCTTTAAAATATGCGATAGCAGTTTGACCTTTACATTTGTCTCGGGTCTTCACAAATACGCATTCTTAATAAGCTTTGTATTTTGGATCGAAAGTAACCACAATTTAAAAAATTAGGGTATCAGAATCCAGTGTTCCTAAATCAAAGTTGTAAACCATCCCCTAATCCAAACTTTTATGATCCTGTCGAGTGATTTCATCTCCAAATAAGGGGTGTCATAGCATCGTTTTTGGACATCTCTACTGGGTCATTTTGGAAAAGTCTAGTTATTAACTGATAGTAAGCTCCCTTCCTAAACAACAGATGCTACCATTATTTGTAAACTGATAACCAGAGATACCGCTTGTAGAAAAGTCTGGTTGGGTTAACCTGATTAATCCTATTTATGTGGTTACGGAGAAGCCTCTTAAAGGATGATTCGGACAGACGTAAAATAATTGAGAAATATGGAAGTTTTTAAAATGAGTTTTACGGTAGTCACATTAAGAAGAAGTACCTAGTTTTCACAATGCTTGATTTAAAAACCGTTTAGGAATAATGAACGTAGACAGCAGTAGTTGTCCCAAACCAGAGAAACTGATCAGCTTACAACCATAAAATTCACTAAATGGATGAGGAAAGCTTAAAGTCTGGCAGTCACCATCATTACACGGAAATTGAAATAGTCTTATAGTTTTATGTAGTTGAGAAACATTGAAGTAGGTAGGCCGAGCAGCGATCACTAAAATCTCTTTTCGGATGACGAAACCGCATCTTAAGTTCAGACTAAAACTGTTGAATCAATAATACCAATTAATGGATAGCTTACATGACACAAGACGTTATGCATCGGCGATGGTAACATCCATCTCCTTAACTCACTCACTTAGCTACTTCAATCCAAGATATTGAACGCCCGTCCGACAAGTTAATCCCAAGGATTATTCATTTCTACACCCTTCTATGGAATTCGTAGTTTATTGCCGAAGCATTATAAACATAAACTACTTGAACTTATCTGTATGTATTCATTGTCGATAGTTCCAACTAAGAAATACAAGACAAGTAGAGTGCTGAAATATCCATATATTTTCGCCTCCATACAAAGACCCTGCCGCTAGGACAATAAAACTTCATTTTCTCGCTTGATTGATGGACAGCAAAGTAACTTTGAGAAAAGTCAGGCTTCTCATTACGAAGTGTTATCTCATAGTTTCGAAATGCTTACTAAATGCGTAAATAAACAACGCAAAAGATTCCCAGACTCGTTATCTTAGACCTGATTGATTCATCTATAAATTTGTCATGCAACCAGAGTAGTCTGTAAAGTGAGCGTATTTCAATCCCAAAACTAGTCACCGGATGTTTGACTAGTTCAAGTTATCTGCTACAGCAAAGGATTGCTAACACTGAATCCGGTGATAGGATGTAATAGGCTTTGTAACCTGTTCTCGCCATATTTCTATACCCTGTCGCTATGTCCATAATGTATCTAGAAAACCTGATCACTAAGTTGAAGAGTCGATTATTAATGCAACTTCGAGGTGAGACCATTTGAGTTAGACAGCAACATAATTCCAGTTACCCACTAGTTGTATTAGTGATTGTATCGAACGTAGAACATAAACAATTGAAACCTAGCCATAAGTGAGCCTACTGTACCACTTCGACTACAAGGAACATGACTCCTAGGTTCTCGGAAGACTAGATTTCAAGAAAAGTATGGAACACAATGAACCAAGGATGACTTAGGTTAAGAATGACCTATTTTTAGTAAAGGGTACGTTTCAAAACTCTTCACCAACTGCGGTTAAAAAAATCTTAGTAATTTTAGTTGTAATCAGACTGGTGTCTCTTCCACGGTGTGGGCAGCCCGGAAATGACAACCGCCCTCATACCCGTAACAGCACACGAGACCGAATTGGTAGAAATCAAATCCTTCCTACACCAACGCACACCTCTCTTATCTCCACGACTAACTTTTCTCACATTCCTTTATCACACTGCACAGCTACTGCAAACAATGCGAGTTCACGAAACGTAATTTCTGGTCTCCTGAAACCCCGTTCTAAACTACATGTTGGAGGATTTATTGTATGGGCATTGTGTCTAATAGGGCAACAGGCTTCGTTAGCTAGAACATCGATGTATGCTGCGTCTCGGAAACGCGCATACAAGATCCTAGTAAAATCATTAATCTAAATTCGCCGTGTAGAAACAAAGAAGCAGCTCGATTTACTCTTCGTGTATCCGGTAGCCCTGATGCTGCTTCCCGGCGTCTCACTGGTGTAGGTATAGTATTAAGTCGTATGGCAGAACTAGCTCTCCTAGACTGGATCCCTGTAGATAGTCGTTTGTGCGCCGTCCGACTGAACGGGATAGTAAGTATTCGGAAAGATAGGGAAAATCGCCGTTGCCTCTTCATCGTATCTGCCTATGCCCCCACTGACTGCAGTTCAGACGAGGTGGAAGATGAGATCTACCGAAAGCTTACGGACCTCCTCCAAAAAGTTAGGCACTCTGATATAGTAATAATGGATGGTGACTTTAATGCTCAAGTAGGTAGACTAAGTGAAGATGAAGGACACTTAGGTGGATGTTATGGTCTCGCGGCTCAATGGCGACCGTCTGTTGCAACTGTGCTCAGATAACCGCCTATTTCGAGCAAACACTAATTTTAAACATAAGGAAAAACATCTTTTGACCTGGCGACCCCCAAAGTCGTCACAACGTTGTACCCAACTAGATCACATTGCCATCAGCCACCGATGGAGGGGTTCGATAGAGGACTGCCGCTCGTTCTGGGGCACATGTTTAGATTCAGATCATGCCCTACTGCGAGCGCGTACTTGTTTGAGGCTTACTGGACGTAGGAAAGCCTCTTAGGGTTTTACTTAATGATAATAAAGCAAGGAATATATTTCAGGAACAACTAGAAAGACAGGTAGGCGACCATGCAAGCGATTCCCATCCGGAGGCAGATTGGAATGATATCAAGAAGGCTGAGGAAACAGCAGTGATATCTGCTAGCAAGGTAAACCATAAGTCTAGAATGAAGCCATGGATCTCAATAGCATCCACCGCACTGATGGCTGCCCGAAAACTCATCCCACTTGGCTCTGAACATGATGAAGAACGAAGTCAGCTTAAGCGCAGGTTGATAAAAAGCCTGGGCAACGACCGCGAACAGTGGTGGGTGGAGAAAGCAAAAGCGATGGAAAAGGCAGCGGCGATCGGCAACAGTAGACAACTTTTCCGACTTACCAAGGAAACATATTAGGAATCCTAGTGTAAGGGAGACTATCACGGAAAATGATGGGACTATTATTTATTCTCAACCCGGGAGACTGGATTGATGGGAAGAACACTTTAGGAATCAGTTCAGCTGGCCTCGAACCACTCTTCGGTTCCCACGATCTCCAGTCATCCTGAAAGGCAAATCGACTCTTTATGAAGTTGAGGAAGCGTTAGGAAATCTGAAGCAAGGGCGAGCTGCAGGTCCTGGTAGACTGACCGCTGAGATATTTAAGGATGGTGGTCCAGTTTTAGCAGCTAGGTTGACTGAGATCTTAGGTAGAATCTGGGAACTGGACGTAATCCCATCCGACTGGACTCAATCACTGATTGTCCCAATTTATAAGAAAGGACAAAAGTCTTCTTGTGACAATCACAGGGGAATAAGTCTAACTAACATAGTTTCGTGAACAGCAGACTAGAGAAAAGCAGACTGGTTTTCGTCCAGGACGTGGTTGTGTAGACCACATTTTCACACTACGACATGTCCAGGAACACAGACACACATTTAGACGTCCTACAATAGTTGTCTTCCTGGACCTAAAGGTGGCATTTGACTCAGTGGATCGTGAGGTTCTGTGGCAGTGTCTATCATTGGAAGGTGTACCAAAGAAGTACATCAACCTTATACAAGCTTCCTATTCTAAAACTACTGATCGGGTGAAAGCTTATGGGAAACTGTCACCGGAATTCTTCACTTCAAGTGGTGTCCGTCAGGGATGTCCACTCTCTCCATTCTTGTTTAATTTTATCATAGACATGCTCTTAGCAATAACCTTATCCTCGTCTGACTATTCAGGAGTAGAGCTTTTACCGGGAGGCTCGCTTAAGGGTAGAAGATGTTCGTAGGTCACTAGTCTTCGATCGTCGATGTTTTCGAATCATTGCTCGTATATCCTGGGACACCCGAGTGAGCAACGCTGTTATTAGGAAACGGGTGCTAGAATGGCAGATCAATAGATGAAGTATTGAAACTTCATCAGTTGAGGTGGCTGGGACATGTGTTACGTATGGCTAACCACCGACTGCCTCGACGGACTATGTTTTGTGGTGTAGGAGTAGGTTGGACGGATGCTATGGGCGGCCAAACCAAAGCATGGAAGAAATCCATGAAGTCACTGACAAGTGGACTGAGTCATGTTGGTAGAGGTATGCTATCTGGTTGGGGTACACGAGACGATAGTCACCAATGGTTAGAGACCTTGAACGACATGGCTCAAAGCCGTTTGCAATGGCGCAGGTGCATCCACTCTTTGTGTTCTCTCTAATTCCGAATTCTTCATAATCTCTATCTTTCTCCTTCGAAATTTATCTTATTGAATTATACTTCTCGAATCATATCATATCTTCGCTTACTAATCTTCTCCATTACTGCCAATACTTCTATTATTGCTATCCCTGTTGGATTTGAACTGACAGCTGCGTATGTGTGCTGATGGGGCATGGCAACATGAACTGATGTATTTACGTACGAAGTTCTGAGTCAGACTGGTGCCTGGGAGTTGAGCTACACTCTAATATATCCCATAGTCCTTGAAAAATAACTTCTAAACACTAAGACCGTTTAACATTACGATAACAATACTGAGAGACATGAGGAAAATATGACAATTTTGTTGAAATTTCCCGGCTTGACAAGCAATAATATGAATGTTTATATTAAAAATATCATCTGAGAATTAAGTATTAGTCTTGTTAAAACAAAATGGATAATATGATAAAAAAATTTATTTCCACAATCAGTTTATACAGGTGAAGAAAATGAGGCAAAGGGCGATAGGATTAAAAAAAACAGACAAATATGCATATATATATTCAGTATCTTATGGTTATATGAAAAGGGAGAGTAGGGTAAATTATTGATAGATTGGTTTAAGAGAAACAATATAATCAAAATACACATAGAATACGATTATATATAAATGAGCTTAGAAGCCCCCATCTGGTTGACTATTCATAAATGCCTCTTGAATTTCTTTTACCATTTTAATTCTATTAAGTATCACTTGCAATTCATTTGGTCGAACAGGATCTGTTGAAAACCATAAATCAGATTTTGGAGGATATAGTGGACTCAAGTAGAACACACTGTCAGAATCTAGTAGCTCTGGGGGACTGAAATGCAAACAGGATGGAGAATTACATTAAATAAATTTGATTGATATCATTAGTAGTGTTGATGATGAACAAGTAAGTAGCACATACTAAAGGGGATTATTTCTTCTTCTTCTTCTTCTACACCAAGTATATTGTGCAAACAAAGCAGTCTCGAGTTTATTTAAAAAAATGATTTTAATGAGGAGAATACCTAAAGTGAGAAGTGGTTAGAAGCGAAGCAAGTGATTGTTCACTACTTGGACAATCTCGATTTTTGGATGAAATTGGTAAGCTGATATAATAAGTCTACAGATATTTGTAACAATTACGTTACATTTATGGCTTAAAAAAACAAGCTGAGTAATAACATGATTTTATCTTATTTTATTCGATTTATTGATAATATTTTACAAACTGTTATACTTTTCATAGTGTATTGATTTTTGAGGAGTATATTAAAAAATGTTACAGTTACTTAAAAACAATAGTATAATACGTTAAACAGTAAGTATTAGCATAAATTTGTTAATCCTGTTTTTTTAAAAGGAACTTACCAACGAGTGAAGTATGCTTTATAAAGTTTAACAGGACATCGTTGTGGATGTTGAGGATTGGCATCTAAACTTAATGTTGTGACAGAATCATCTGATTCACCGAACACATGACCAGGTAAATGACAAAGAACAGCTGTTTCAGAGATTTGAAATTGTGAAAATGCTAATTGCCGATGAACTGTACCAAGTCGTAAACCAATATGTTTAGTATTGTAATAAAGCATGGTAAATAATAAAATCTAAAATATAAATTACATAAACAAAAATAAAATTGACAATAATTTCTATGGAATGACAACTTTAAGGTTTGAGTCTGACTTTCGCCTACTAGAAGTTCCACCATATGAACTATGTTCAATCTAACTTGAATTAAGAAACCAGGGTAATACTTTTTTGGCATTTGACACCTAATCGAACTATTTTAAAGTTAAAAATGTGACATTCTTAATTTCCGATTTTGCAATAATCCTCATCTCGTGTCGATAATTTTGTTTATCTACGTCTCCCTCCTTACCACAATATTTTCCATTCAGAAACACAACACATCTTTAACATTTCCGTTACCTTTATGGACTACTAGATTACTTCTTCCTGATCACTGATACAATATTTTACGCACAATTCTTAAGCACACTGTTAATAATCGTTTTCATAAACGATCGTACAAAATGTAGTAAAACTGTTGCTTGAATCGTACAGGAATGACGTCTTTAAATATCGTGTTTGGACACTTGAATTCAAATGTTTCAGGGAGCGATTCAGTTTTCTCAAAATCTTTAGTTTAATGTAAAAGTCTGTGTACTTGGCACAATGTTTACATGTGAAGGTTAGTGATACTATCCAGGGGCCCTAAAGCGAATTTGATTATAGTTTGAACGTGCTACCCATTGGTTACAATTAGTTGAGAAAGAGTATTATTGTCGAGAAACAACAAACATGAAAAGTACTGTTATGACTTTCTACAAATACATTACTATTTTGCATCACTTGACTTTTAAAGTATTTGATGTAAATTGATGTGTTTATGTTGTCTGCTATTAGAACGATTAATAAACGATCCAATCTTTGGCACTAGGACAAGTAAAACCTCCACTAACACGGTCGGAAGCCAGAAGTGATAGAAATCTTTACTCGAGTAAGTGTGGAAAATTTACGGAGAAACCGTGTGTATTTATAGTTTTTTGAATGGATTGAAAACAGAACATAAAGTCATTTAATCCTAAATGAATGATGTTACGTCATCATCTAATCATCTTATGCTATATCGACATTCTAGAAACCGTATCAAGTTACGATCAGATGGAAGCACTTCGGAGGTTTTTGTGAACAATCTCAACAACTTAGAATTAAGATAATAGACATATTATGAGCAACTCAATGATATTTGACAGGATCTAGTAAATGAAAAAATAACATGATTAGTGATTTATCAAAAGACTTCCTAAATATCTTCGTATTTATACTGTGATGCAAATCTTCTTTTTAAAAAAATCTATTGAATACATCAGGACATACCTCGGCTGATTGTGAACCTAATTGTTTTGCTTCCCATAAATGTTCTTCTTCTATACGACAGATAAGAAGTCCTTCGGGACTAATACGAGGTTGAAAATTAGCTAATATTTCGTTTAAAGCTCTAGATAGACCAGTAAACGCAGGATCTCCAAATAAATTTACAGTACGACCATTTTCGTTGAGATACTCTTGAATACCTTTTTTAGTGTAAAAGTATACAACCAGAAGAAATAAAACAGTCCAACTTTAAACGCGATCAAAAGTGAAATAACAGTTGATGCATTTCAATAAAACCAAGAAATAAAGAATTTATTAAACTTATTCATATAAATCTCTTTTATGAATATAAATTACATAGGTCTGTTCTATTGTCACATACCACATATTCAGTTAAAGAGAGAGAGTAAAATTATCAAATATTTACAGGATTATCTAACTGCATTTAAACAAAGTTATACAGGAAAGCCAATAACATAACAATAGTAGTATTGATCTTACAACTAACCTAGGCACAAATAGAAAATTGAATCAGCTACATAACATTCATTGTTTGGTTTGCGAACTTCACGAACAAACTGACTTAATGCGATATTGAGATCGGCATCACTCATGTTTAATAAGTCAGCATATAAATGTGAATATTGTTGCATTGCAGCTGTAGTAGATCTAGGTTTGTCTGCAGATGAAGCTGATTTTTGTTGTACCCAATGACGCCATGCATTGATCCCGTAAGAGAATTTCAAATGGTAATTAGCATCAGATGTAAGTACAGGTGTAAGAGTTTGACGAGACCGCTTAGCTGGGGGTGGCGGTGGGAGCGGCTGATCTATTTCCCTTCTGCTACTGGAATGACTCACTACCGACGTCGCCTGGAGGTGATGGTGGTGTGATGGTGGATTATGTTCAGTGGATTGTTGGATGACAGTTGACTCTGAAGTCCATGAATCTGACGATGATGATTCTTCGGGGACGGGACGTTTAAGACTAGATACATTTTGAGGTCTATTAGGAGCACCACTATGCTGTTTTAGAAAAGAGATATTAGACAATCAAAAAACATTATTTGACAGATACGCAAGGCAAGAAATTACATCTATAAAATTGGTGACCGGTAATGCTAGTACACAGGTTATTCAGAACCTATTTTAACATCAAACACCTCTGTTACTTATATCTTGAGAGCTGTATGTCAAAATATAATAGTTGAAAAGAACAAATCATAGAAGAAAAGCTGATGAGATGAAATGTAATCTAACCGATATTTTCCAATATTATATATTTTATTGACCACTATTCCATGTGATCCCAACCTAGTTTCCAATGAAGATGCTTTTAATCCACGATATCGCGCGACAATCATTGATTGTCTCACATAAGACACGGTTCAAGTTCACTGATTACAACTTCTCACTAAAACTCCGAGAAATCCCTCACGAAGCTAGTGACTAGTGGGCACATGGTATGGAGCTGTGGGGATTGTTGAGTCTGATTGAAATCATGAACTGTTTAGTATTCGACAACCACTGAAAATCTGGAATCACTGGACGGAAGTTTTGTTCTAGTATGGAAATAATCGTAGATATTAACACCGTTGGATGCCAGCTCAGTGGTCATGAGGTTACGCTTTCATGCGCAAGACCGAAGGTCCGGGGGTTTGGATGCACAGTGATGAGTCCCGTACATTCAATCAGTAAAATCATTCTTATCAACTTAGCATCGAGAAATGCACAATATATGTAATTTATATAGCTTTTGTATTTATATTTATAGCTTATTTAGACGACATAACTTAATAATTCAACACTAGTCGACAATCCTTTTGATAACGATAATAGTAATAATGACATCATAATCATTGCTAAATTCAATTGATTTGATCTAATAATATTGAATGGAAATTAGGATAAATACTATGTGCATATTGATAGCTACTGAAATGTTCAAGAAAGAAGTTTACTGTCAAGACAATTACCTGATCTCATACTTTTCGATGTATGATCAATGATTATAGAGATTAGCACGTAATCTAAGATTCTGACCATAATATTTGGCTCTGAACTTAAAAAGTGAATTGATTGGGACAGTAATAATACACAAGCGTAAAGATACCTGACATACTTGTCATTGAATCGTGAGAAAAATAACCCAGTCAATTAATAAATGTTTCTTGAATGCTGAACCAGTATGGATAAATACTGACAAAGGATATTTACTTATCGAAATAATGTGCGATGTAGATTTTATTGTGTGTAGCAAATAATTATAACACAAAGAGTTAGTCAGTTTCCCTGTTTTCAAAATTAATCAATAATAAGTATATTGAGCTGGTGTGTACTTCAGTAAAACGTTGATAGATAAATGTGATCTACTGGAATAGTTACAGATAAAAATGCGCTTTTAATATACTCAAAATTCCTAGATTGTTTCCGACAAGATCATCATTAGGTTTCACTTTAATGTATATGAAATATTAATCCAATCAAGACAATTTACGAGTAAATGAACACAATAAAACAAATGGCTTCATTAACTAAACATAATAAATAGGTGAAATACAAAATGGATAGTACAAAGATAAGTATCTATCAGATGGAGTGATTAAAAGTAATAAAAGTTTTAGTCAATTGTTAAAATAACCCATTGTTTGTCATTAAATAAACTTGAAGAGAATTCAACGAAGAAAATCTCTTCTTATTTGATGATATCATTTTCTGGGTGCTGTACAATAATCATATTTATGGGTAAATCATTCCTATATTAGGTCATAGTAATAAAATTAAAATCTTTTAAAAAATTATCAACGATAGTCAAATTTATTTAAGTGGACGACAATGATAATAAATGAAGTGGTATTGAGTAATATAGTCAGGAATATTATAAGGTTTCAAGTATTAAATATAATAGTAATTATAATTTATCAACAATACTATGAAATATTTGACTACATACTCTGAAAAATAACTAGTGAGAATAAAAAACAAAAATTAGTTTCATTTGATTAATCTGTTATACCTGGGGTAGACATTATTTGTCAGGTTACAGATACATGTTACTCGACACAGGGTTAACCAGCTTGTTTTCCAGATTGGAGTAGGGGGAGTGGGGAAAAAACCTGCGAATCAGTGGTTGAAAGCTGTATGCCCAAATCAGAGTCGCCGCTACACTATTTTACTCATGGATAGTTAGTTACAAATATACAGTATAGGAAGGAGAAACCTTAGATAATAAACTTTGTATTTTATTAGTCAACACTATAACTGTTATATATATATATATATATATCCTCTAGGCTTCTCGCTCTAATACAATAAGAATTAAGTTACAACTTGTATAGAAAGGGAAGGGAAACCAACCTCTTCAATTGTCCCCATATCTCCTTCGTCATTGGACATTGATAATGCATAAGCATAATCAGTCGACTTTGCTGAACGTTCTAAATCGACAAATTGCGTGTCAATCTGGTTGTCACTTGCTGTTGCTATTGAATCGTCTAATTTCGTTGAAGATTCAATGAGTGTTTTTCGAGTAATCAAATCGACTTGTTGTCCTTGGTCTAAAATAATTCAAAATTAAGAGAATTTTCTTATTGTTGTGAATGATGCTGAATACTGTTTTTTTTTTAAAAATATATATTATTCTTTTTGTTTCAGTGATACAAATCTAACAAAAATTTAAAAAATTATGGTACTTCTCCAATAATAAACTCTTTTTACTGAACATGTAAGGAACTACGTTTTTAATCGATCATATTGCAAATCCTTAAAAAAATCTCATTTCTTTTTTCAATCCTTGCTAATGAGCCGTTATTGATGTCCGTCCTTTTGAATGGATATGATTAGAAACTGAAACAAAGTAAACATAAACTATATACCATTTATTAGTCAGTAGATTGCTCAAGTACTGGGTTGTGAGCTATTGTATAGAGGCTAACAAATCTACGTGACTTGTTAAGTCTCCAAAAGAACAGTGTTTCTGTCTCATACCAAATTACAAGCTAAAACGAGACTGTACACAGCATTGAGGTATAGTTTCACTAATGAGCAAACTACTTGTAGATAAATTACTTGTTGGTTGAATTTTAGCAGTGCACGAAATGATAAGTTTGTACTGATTATCGGAATTCGAGCAAAATAATCATACCAAACTTTGATAAGGATGCGAAAAATGAAAAGACCTGGCGGTACATCTTCAGATTTATTTTATTTATTTCAGTCAGTTACAACGTAGAACTTTGTACGTACGTACATAAGTCCATGTTGCCATACCACATTAGAATAGAGACGCAATTGTCAGTCCAAATCCCATATTGGTAGAGATAGTAGAGGTATTAGCGGTAATAAAGTGAAATTAAGTGAAATAAATTTAGAAAGAGAAAAAGATAAATGTGATAAGGAATTCGGAAGATCAGAATTAGAGAGAAAACAAAGAGTGGATGCATCTGGGCCAATGAAACGATTTTGATCCATGTCGTTCAAGGTCTCTAACCATCGGTTACTATCGTCTCGCGGACCCCAGCCAGGTAGTCTACACTTACCAACATGACTCAGTCCACTTGTCAGTGCTTTCATAGATCTGTGCCACGTTTTGGTTTGGTAGGCCGCTAGCAGGATAACGCATAAGATATGATCTATCATATCAAGAAAGGACTTATATAATACATATTGTATGTTAGTAGAAAGTTTAAATAATCAATATGCGATGCTTGCATGATGTGTATTAATAAGTGATGTTATGGTATCGCATAAACATTGCGCAACATAAGTATAATATACAGTAACACACTGGCAACCTTACGCTATCAACTCCTATTTTTTATTATCAGGTTGTCTTACTCTGATGCTTGTGTTATTTAAATTGTTGTTGATCGTTTTTATTCTAAAATGCCAATGTAAGTGCTTACTGAGTCCTCGGCTGACACTTCTTATCTCCTATTTCAGATTCTCTCACACACTGTTAGTCATACTGTCCCCTCAGTACACAAAGTATTTTCAGATTAGACTTAAATCAACCCAAGGTTGAACGTTAGAATGCACCGCAAAGTGGAGCACACAACCAGACTTGATTACTACTATATATTAGCCTAAAACAATGAAAGGTAAATACCCTGGACAACAAACAGTATTTTACCTTCAACACACGGAGGTTTTGGAGTAGCATCGAAAGCAAGTGGAACTGGAAGTGGGCACGGTAACGGATAGGGAACTGCGTATGGCACTGGTCTTGCATATAAGCATACTGGGAATGGCACATAGATTGGAACCGGAACAGGTATGGGTAGCACAAGTGGCATTTTTTTCAATTCATCTTCATCTGTTAAATCTAAAGGCACAAGTAGGATAGGGGTAAAGGATAAATCAAGATTTTCAAATTAAAGATTAAACAAAATGCAACTTTAGTGTAAGTCAGTCAAACTAAATTAATAATATTGTCCACTAGCCTGAGATAGTAAGAGTCTGTTTTATGATTTATTAAAAATTAAAGTTCATAAGATTTATTTACTTTTTTAAACAAGTAATGAGTCGATAAAATATCTTGATGGAATTAAGCTTAAGAAAGCGATGGTATTAAAATGCTTCAAAATGAAGCTAAAAGTGCTATGTTAATCATTGATACTCTAAATAACGTATAAATGGAACTAGTTTGAATCATTAATAATGACAAAGCGAATATTGTAAAAGTTGAAACTTTTAGAACGATTTTCTGAACCATTATTCTTTATAATTTTATTGCTCAATCAGTAAAAAACTGGATTGTTGCATTTATATATTCTTCTGATATTGAAACTCTCCTCGGGTTACTGCTGGTCCCAAGCCTGGATAAAGGAGGAGGGTTGGACATGAGGTTAACGACCTCATCCCACAGAAAACCAACTCGCTAAAAAAACGCTAACCAGATGAAACAACTCAAACCATCTAATCTCTGTCCTGGGAGTTGGAAGGTGTTGATTTAAGAGAGTTATGAAGTCTTATGGTGAAAGCCGAGTTTCTTCGGAAGTCACGAGATCGATGCGCTTCTAGACAACCAGACAAACCATTAATAAAGGTACGCTAATGGCTCTACTACTTATAGAATGATTATGTTGAAGGTAGGACTATTGTATGTGTTTTCAGGCATGGCTAAACTGAGTACTACAGAGAATTAATGTGTACCTATCTGTGCCACCTCAATGGTTACTGGGTTGGAAGAAGTTTGGGGACAAATCAGCACTAAAGACTTGATGATGGTTCATTAGTTGGTGAGTCAATTTGTGAAATAGGTCAATGGCCTTACTGGCCATAGAGATTTATTAATGGGTAAGAGGAATTTCGACCGGGTAATGCAGCACAGAATATCGAACAATGTATAAAGACACAACATATAAAGTTGTAAGTTGTTGTAATAGGTTACTCTATAAATCATTAACAATCTATTGAGAAAAGTCTGCTAACCACTGATCGCGGTTATTATGTGAATTCCAATCAGATGTAGTCTGGATCTACCGACATAGCTCAGACCAACAGTAAATGACTCTATGGATTGATACCACGTTCTGGTTTAACCGTTCACAGCTTAGAGAAAAGTATTGGTTTTAAACAGTCTTACTCTACTCTACTCTTATTGAAATTACATAACAATCATTATTTACCTGTCTGGATGCCGGATTCAACGAAAACGGTGTCATCAGAAGTTGATGTCTGAGCACAACTAACACTTGGTTGATCAGATTTCATCAACATCTGATCATCTTCAATTTCACCTACAGGTACCATATCATCGTCATCGTCATCATCACTTTCAACTGGTTTTGTGTCAATAGTCTGGGTCTGCATTTCAATCCCAAGAGATGCTCCATCATTCTTATTACTCGATTCCGTTGTAGTTGGAAGTACATCCGTTTGCACAGCAATACCATGTTGGGATAAATTCTCGTATGTTGTCGCACTTGCTTGAGTTTTACGACACATTGACAACGGTCGACACAGTACAGCTTTATTGCGCATGGCGACTGGGGCGGCTGGTTGTAAAATGACTTGTTGTTCAATGCCTAATTGTCGGACCATGTCAATTGGAACAACAGGAAATTGTCCCTATATAACAAAGTGAAGTGGCAAATTATATGAAGGCACAGTCAATTGAAATAGTGAAGAATATGTTAGGATATTCACCAAATATCCTAAGAGTACTATTTTTGGAAGTATAATCCTATTGGTCGATTTCTATTGGTCAAAATTATGGTCGTTATAACTGTCAACGTCAAATACTTCAATGTTGTCTCTTATTGGTCATCCGGACTGTCAATGTCATTTCAAATATTCTTTCCTATTGGTCGTCCTAAACTGTCAATGTCACAAACTTTGATGCTCTTCTCTATTCGACCTAAATGTATAAATACGCACTATCTGTAAGACTTCAGGATTCCGTTTCTCCCTGCCTACCTCTTCTGCACTCGACCCAATAAACAACTCCATCCAACGGTGTTGCGTTCTGATATATAGGAGATTTGGAAATAGTATTTGGGTCGTACTGGGATATTTGAATTTGGACGCCACTAGGACTGAATAGCTATACGTAGCAGCATTATAACAGAATACAATTGAGAAAATCATGTCAATAGTTATGTGATTTAACTTACTCGTAAAGGCCTTCGACCTCGAGGACGACCTCGACCACTAGTACCAGCTATTGCAGCGGCCAAGCGATAACCGGAGTCTCGATCCATACTACCTATCGCACCAACACCGGCTGAAACAATATTACTTGATGATGTGCCTGAAGGTATTATTGTAGCTGTTCCTGTTCCAGTTATACCTTGATTGACACCAGATATCGAGCCTCCTCCCGTCGTACCAAATACAGTAGCAGAAGATGGAGTATAGCGAGTACCCAATGATAATAGTCCTGAAGCTGCAGGTGTCAGTACAGCAGATTGCAGTCCAGCTGACTGAGCCACAGGAGCGCCTGTACTTAGAGGTTTTCGGCTAATAAAAAGTAGTGTGCAAAATTAGAGCGAAAATCTAATTTTTCAAATGTTAGGGGCATGATAATAACAATATGAAAAGCTAATCGCAGACCATTAACACTGGAAGTTATTATTAGATGAACAGTAATTTGGAATAGAAGTTTATCAACGGTTTGCATCCAGAACACATGATGAATAGCTAGAAGTAATTAACACCTTTAGACAATACAAAGTTTGTAAAAATAAGGTTAGATAATGAGACTACTACGAATGCAGTCCGGCATTCAATTATACATATGATGAATCGGAGATAAATACATCACATACAGAGAAAGAGGGCAATACTTATGCCATGCTAGTGAAGAAAACATGAACTTACACACGGTCGGGAAATACAGTAGAATTCAACAAGCCTTAAACAGAAACTATCCAAATATAGTTGGATGATTAAAAGGGATGTTGATTTTTGAGTGGCTACATTTTTGACTTATTTACCAAGTACAGGTGTATAAAAAAGTGGCTTTTAGGGGTAATGTTTGCGTGAGGGCAGTGATACATCCAATATTTAGCTGAACTAAACAGAGCAGTAGAAAACTAAGTGCATAAACGACTAAGTACTCGAAATCGCTTACTTATAAATGGGTGGGTAAGACAATGATTGCCACGAATCTTATTTCCAGCTTACAATTTAAAATCCTTTTATTACACGTCTTCTGCATTAATTTTTTTGAAAATACTTGACAAACACTAAACTATTAACGTAAAACACATCACATCAAGTTTTAAGCATATGAAGGCTCAAATATTGTCAAAATCATATTATTACAAGAGCCATAAAAAAAAACAAAGCCTGATGTAAATATGCGTTAGTTCAAAACATAGTGAGATGGACTTAACAGGATGAATAACACAAGAGTTGAAATAATAGCAGTCAGAACGACTATACATGGGCGAATACAGCTTGAACACGAATGATTTAGAACAAAAGGTACGAAATGATACTGAATATCAAGACTAGGTGGAAGATTAATGGTGGATAGACCTGAGCCTCTGTGATCGATTTTGCCTGAAGTCCTTCTAGGGTTACTGCTTATTCCCGATCTTAGGTTACGTATGGGTTTAGCAACACCATCCCGTCAAAAAGGAACTCACTGCAAAACAATCTGCGATCAATCTTGTGTTATAATTCAACTTCTCCAAACCACTGATGATGATTATCGCCCTGATCTTAACCAGATTGTCTATGTCTACTAAAGCGGTTCAAGTCAAAGTCAATTTGTTAACACTTTGATAGTGATGACTGGCATCAGAAAAAGAGAAACATTGATTTATTAGTACAAATAATCCTGTTTTGTCTTTTATTCATTAGGAAATTTGAAGCTCAACAAAAAATGGATTTAAGTTACATGATCATTAACCCTCCTCAAATAACCTAAGTTAAGCTTGAACATCCTACATATATGTCAATATTATTATAAACTTCGTGGAACATAAAAAAATGTACTGACGAGATGAGAGGGAGAGAGTTGATGAACTAATACATGTTAAGCAACTTTAAAATATAAATTTCATAAACCATTATCAATTGACTTTCAGTGCCAACAGTTTATAACAGCATACCCTAACCTTAAGAAATTAGGACTTGAGTTAAAAGGATCTGCAAGAACCTGAATTCGAGACAATGAGTAAATGAAGATATAAATACTAATTTATTGAGCCATAATACCATTGCAAACATTACTGAGAAATAACTAACCTGGTGATGCTACGCGATGCACGATTCGCATTAAGAGAAACCCAACGTGCATCGTTATTATTCAAAGTGAAGCCGCCTCTACCAACACTCGACTAAATAATGAAATAAATCGGTAAAATAGTTCATAGATAATAAGTATGAACTTATCCAAGACAACTAATAAAATATTACATTAGTTGGAAGTCAATTAATGAGTGCGTGAAAATGTGATCAGCAATGTGATAAATAATCACTGATTTTTTGTGACCTGTGTCGTCATCGTTGTGGATTATTTGTTGAACATAATTCATGAGCAAACTACTGTGGTTGACTAGTTCACATTTTTAGAAATCTATAATCTCATTTATATTCAGTTAATTGGCTTCTCTTTTGAGACCTACCTACGTGAAGTTTTTTCAATCAGCTTCCTTGTCAAAACACTCAAAGCAGAATAGTTCTTTAATCTGAGGAATTTGAAAGGAAATCTAATTAATGGTGGTAGTGAGATTTGCAGGCTCTGTAATATCCTACAGCCCAAACGACATTTGAGGGTGGTCACATAAGTTTTGACTTATCTGGACTCTATTGCTCAACCTTATCCTTGGGACGGGAGATCTGTTGAGTCAGAGGTGTAGTATTTGTAAAACCGACTTTTACTAACTCATCGTATCTGCAGAAACGTCGGTCAGTCGATCATTATCAACGTAGAGCCTGGCATAGATGTGCATTGCCCCAAGTTGAGAGGAGGTAGCAGCAACACTAAAGTTAACACTGCAGGGTCTCTGTAGCAAAATACCTTGTCCTTGAACCTCACATTTTCTGCTTTTAGTGTTGATGCTACTTAACTAACTCTCTTGGTACAATAGGATTATGAATAACTGTTTCCGACAAGGGCTTTACTTGTGATGATTTTTAAGATTAACTTCTGTACCAAAGAGGTTTCAGCTAGATTCCTCTACCGACACATGTGCTTAAACTCCGTGCTTTGTTATTTTTGGATTAACTAGACCAACTTTAGTGACTAACACTTCTGAATTGTGAAATGTTACCATTGAGAGAAAAAAAAATTCAAGGATACATAACTTCCACTAAGTTTACAAGCGTATGGTAAAAATTGGAGCTTAAATAAACTAACCTTGTAACCAGTATGCTGATTTAAATGTTGGGCTAATTCAGGTTTCAGTAAACTCTTCCCGCCCTGAACACTGCCTAAATGGATTTGACCACCACTTGCATCTTGAATGACATATGCACCAGCTTGATCTATTGGTAATTCGACCAGTTGTCCTAAACTGGGATCTATAGCAGGTATACTGGTGCTAAAATTTAATTAATATGCTTAATTACATGTTCGCAGCAAATGATTAGAAGAGACCATCAAAATTATATGTAAGAGGGTATATCAAAAGGATGCGTCTTAAATATATATTATGCTTTAATGTATATAAGCAAGAATTTTGTAGTGTTTAAACAAAAAGCTTAGGGTGGATTTGTTAAAAATAATATCAACTACATGATTATATGTTTAGGTAGTGGAGATATTTCCCAATGTCGAGTTTTCCTGTCAGTTATTGGCTGACTCTTTTAAATGCATCCTTAGTATTTGATTTATCAGCCAATCAGTCAGCAAGAACGTAGAATTTGGTACGTATGTACATCATTTCAAGTTGCCATACCACATAAACACAGATCGAATCGTTAATTCAAATCCCATGACAGTAAAGGTAGTAGAAGTATTAGCAGTTATGGAAATGATTAGGGATCGAAGATTCGGAGTATAATCCAGTGAAATAAATTTGAAGGGTCATAAGGGATTTAGGTTAGAATGTGAGACAACACAAAGAACGGATGCATCAACGTCAGTGCAAACGATTTTGAACCATATGATTTAAATTCTCTAACCATCGATTACGATCATCTCACGGACCACAACCAACATGACTTAATCCAGTTGTCGGTGAATTCACCGATTTCTGCCATGTTTTGGTCTGGCCGCCTCTAGGTTCCTTCCGACCTACTCCAACACCTCAACCGATGAAATTTCACTACTTCATCTACTGACCTGCCATCCTTACCTAGTACTGGTTTCTTAACAACAGCATTGCTTACTCGGTTGTCCCAGCATACACAAGCCAATCAAGCCTTCTGTAATCGTGCTGAGATTTCGTCAGTCGCCAGACCGTCAGCACTGATGAGACTCCCGAAATAAGTGAGATGGTTTGCACACTCAACTGCTTCACTCCTTATCACCAGTTCAGGTGCTGATGCAATCCGATCCTGGAGCAACATTTTGCATTTCAAGGATGAGAACCGCATCCCGAACATGCTTACATTGTTTATTAGGGTATTCAGAAGACTCTGCATTTTGTCAGCGTCTTCACCAAATAGAACGATGTCATCAACATACTGTAAGTCAGCAAGCGTGTCTCCTGGTAACAGGTCCACTCCTGAATAGTCAGACAAAGATAATGTTACCTCTAAAAGCATATCTTTTACAAAGTTAAACAAGAATGGAGAGAGTGGACATCCCTGACGGACACCACTTGAAGTGAAGAATTCCGGTGACAGTTTCCCATAAGCTCTCACCCGATCAGTAGTTTTAGACTAGGAAGTTTGTATAAGGTTGATGTACTCCTTTGGTACACCTTCCAATGATAGACACTGCCACAGAACCTCACGATCCACTGAGTCAAATGCCACCTTTAGGTCCAGGAAGACAACTATTGTAGGACGTCTAAATGTGTGTCTGTGTTCCAGCACCTGAACTGGTGATAAGGAGTGAAGCAGTTGAGTGTGCAAACCATCTCACTTATTTCGGGAGTCTCATCAGTGCTGACGGTCTCGTGACTGACGAAATCTCAGCACGATCACCGAAGGCTTGATTGGCTTGTGTATGCTGGGACAACCGAGTAAGCAATGCTGTTGTTAAGAAACCAGTACTAGGTAAGGATGGCAGGTCAGTAGATGAAGTAGTGAAATTTCATCAGTTGAGGTGGTCGGGACATGTTTTGCATATGCCTAACCACCGACTGCGTCGTCAAGCGATGTTTTGAGATGTAGGAACAGTTCGGACGAAAGCTAGGGGCAGCCAGACCAAAACATGGAAGAAATCCCTGAAGTAACTGACAAGTTGACTGAGCCATGTCGGTAGGTGTCGACTGTCTGGTTGGAGTCCGCGAGATTTTAGTAATCGATGGTTAGAGACCCTGAATGACATGGCTGAAAACCGTTTACAATGGCTCAGGTGCATTCATTCTTTGTGTTCTCTCAAATCCCAAACTTCAATTCCTCATTAGTTTATCTCTTGAAGTCTATTTCACTAGTTCCTACTTCTTGAATCATATCTTATCCTAACCACTCCGACTACTGATTATACCTCTACTACTATTGGATTTGAATTGACAATTACATCTTTGCGCTAACGTGGTATGGCAACATGAACTAATGTACGTATGTACGAAGTCCTACGTTGCTACTGATTGACTGATTGAATACATGTCCAAGCTACTAAGACCAGTGTTCCAATACGGTGACTTGAATTAAATAATCAGCACTGCGACTAAGCATGCATTGTTTTGCATCGGAATTACTACCGTAGTGCTGTCGTCGCATATCACCAATTCTTAGGAGATAATATAGATCGAACAGGGTAGCCAAACATCCTAACTCAGAAACTAGAGTTTATAAATTTGATAGTTGCTGTTAGAAAGCTTCCTAATAAATTTAGTCGAGGTGAATCAATGTTTGTAACAAAAGGTATGAGCGTTTGCAATTAAGAAGGATAATTGTGTCCAAAATCACTAAACTAAGCCAGCTTTAGAACTTTCCCTGTGATCATTATTTAAAAACTCATATAGAAACATTTACTAGTATTTAGGGATTTAATAAGTGAACTTGAAGTCAGCTAAAAGTTACCAAGGATTCTAACACTCTTATGCGCTTAGTGGTATCATTCGTGTAATTTTGTGTAGCGTGAACAAAGCTACGTGATCTATGCACCTTTCTTCCAACCAAAACAATAAGCACAGATACGCAGCAGTTCCTGAGTCCTCTCCGTTTTACTTAACATATGACTGGCTATTAGGTAAGATATTTCAACAGACAATTAACATTCAAATCATCATTATCGTTCCTCGGTACAGGTTAAAGGACAGACAGCAACATTTTTACACAGTTTGGGCCCGAATGTCTGGGAAATAAAAGTAGGCTCGCAAAAGAAGGCCGGTTATCGACAGAAGACTATTGGTCTTAGCAGAATTTAGGATTTTGTGGTGGATAGGTGGGAATGTAGATGTAAAAACAATAGTTTCATAAATAGCATAGCTGTCCAAATCCAATAAATCATTACCATGCATTTGAGGATTTTAAAAGATAAACACACTATTAGACCTGAAGAGATTTTCTTAAGTTTCAAAATCTAACTGACTTCACTCCGATTATTGAGCTGTGTTCAAATGTATAACGTTCTTTGTTATATACTTTAAGCAGTGATTTGAACAGTTATGTCAGATAAACACTGAAGTTTGCTGGAACATTTTACACAGGAGTGATTATTTGTTTACTACGAAAATAATAACTTATATAGACATAAATAATACACTGCAGAGTAAAATACTTACGCATATGCCGTCATGACTAACGACCCTCACCTGCCCTTAATATCGAATAGGCAACACAAAAGGAGCACAACACAACAAGGACGACTGGGTACAAACGACAAACTTGTATAGATTCTTAGGCCAAAAGTAAGACTCGATCAACAAGGAGACAAAATATGAAGCTTTATCCAGGGTTATCTCTCCAAATACGTTTTGTTTATTCAAAAGACAATGGACTCTGTTTGTGTTTGAATGCATCAAACATATAGACCGGATCCTTTTCAATGCTATGTGGGTACGAATTAGTGTAGTTAAACAAATCTGACTTGCAATCAAAAACTTCTATTTTCTGGATTCAGGATAAAACCATTTTTTATTTTGCAGCCATTTATCATCTTTCTATGTTGAATATATTCTGTTGTAAGTTTTGTTAAAGAGACGGAGATTCTCTGTTAATTTAAAAAGTCTGTAGTGAAATACTTTTACGAATAGAACGCACGTGGTGAAATGGAAACATTTATTATCACACCCAATTTTATTATTGATTGCTTTATTGTACTCCTTGTTAGTTATTTTATAACTAATTGTAGTTATGCCATAACTAACCAACCAGATTGGTTAAGCGCTCACCACGTTATCTAGTCTAACCGGTCTGTAAACCTTCATTGTTGTAAATGACCTATTGATTGAAGGACGTTATTATTTTATTGTATTGATGTGACTCATGTTTTTATTCATTTTCTAAAGACACGCTATACTGGTCGGTACGTTCGCTCGTCTTGATAATTGTAATTTCCTTATTTATTGTACTAATTTAATCGTTCTTTTTGTTTAGAAACAGATAAAGTTTAAAACCAAGTTGTCTTTTACTAACTATAGCTTTACCATAGATTCTGTGCTCGCTAGAATTGCGTTTACCGTTCTAGAATTACATCTGTAGGACAGATTAAATCCTACACTCCTTTTGTTTAAATGTACTACAAACCATTTAACATGACGCTACTATTGCTCGGTCGCCTCTTAGGATCATCCATCAAAACAAATCGTCCATCAATCACAGCTGAACTTATGACTGTTGGCCTGAACGTGATTTGACTTGGTTATTTCACGATGAATAGTCTCGATTCGCTACAGCGGTGGGCGACGGCTCTGGACACGCATCAACTGCTGCCGAATCTGCCAAAACCACGTCAATTACGGTGAGTTTGTTATTTGTCTATTCACATTTGTTGTTCCTCATGATATATCGATATTTCTAAAATATATACTATATCCTCAACAACCTTATACACTGATGGACAAAGTGAAACATGACGATAATATAACATACTCCCAATTACAAGTCATCTGTTTTCGACCTGTTGCTTTTATTCCGTACTACTCAGAAGTCTGGTTTGAGGCACTGGAGGCTAAATTCGAGATCCTCCGCATCACAAACAAGCGGTAGATGTATGCCTACAATCTGGCTTAGCGGCTCACCGAGTATTTGGTGAAATAATTCTTCCTCTCCAATTCCGTGTATTGTATCTAGACTAAACTTGTTTGTGCAACGGTGGTATTAAAAGAATCCAAATACTTTGTTGCGGATGAATTTACTTCGTGCAATCATTTATGCAGACAAACATGAGAAGGAAAGCGTAAAAGTAACATGAAGCGAATTGGAGAGGGCGAGTGAGCCAACTCTCCATGAGCTGAAGAATGACTAAGTATTTATAGTCAATCAGTAATAGTCTAGACATGTAATATGAGATAAGGCATCCACACACACAATGACATATACAATAATCAATACTGTAATCGAATTATTACGAATGAAAAATTATGGTCGATACTATTATCGAATAATTTAAATGACGAATCACTGTGGGACGATCAATGAATGGCGAAATGATACATTGGAATAATTACCTGGGGACTGCATTACTTCTGTTCTTGAGGTAGTCCTCTGTAGGATTTAATTTGTCCTACAGATGTAATTCTAAAACGTAAACGCAAATACCGCCGCTGACAGATTCAAGAGTAAATCAGAACAATAAAACTTGGGTTTAAACTGTATCTGTTTCTAAACAAAAAAACGATTAAATTAGTACAATAAATAAGGAAATTACAATTATCAAGCAGGATGAGCCAACGTACCGGACAGTATAGCGTGTCTTTAGAAAATGAATAAAAAACATGAGTCACATCTATTTAAAATAAAATAATAATCTTCAATCGATAGGTCATTCACAACAAAACCGGTCAGACTAGATAACGTGGTGGGCGCTTAACAAATCTCATTGGTTAGTTATGAAATAACTAGAATTAGTTATAAAATAACTAACATCCTCAATTCTACCGTATCAGACGTCTACGATCGTCTCAAGTAGGCGATTTTCAGACATTTCCTCCCATCGAAAGAGGAACGATTGAGGACCTTGTTAGCATATCACCCCCTGGGTGATGATAAACCAAGCCACCACCTCGCGCGCCTGTACTCCTTAGCAGGACCTACGACAGCCGACTCTGACATAGTCAAGGAACTGTGGCTCGAATCTCTACTAGCACACGTTCAGCCAACGATGACCATTCTGCTCGAGGACACGCCACTTAACCAGGCTTCCATTATAGTAGACAAATTTATAACATGAACTAGCTCGCGAGACAACTACATGGTCGCTTCCACGTCACGTACGAACGTAGACTTGATTCTAGTCGCTCACAGACTCAAGGAGATCGGGGTTGTCGTATTCACAGACGTCTCAAGTTTAGAGACCGTACTTTTATACCAGAACCCCACGTAACGAGCCCAATCACGATCACGCAGAGCTGCAAGTACTCGCCCTACGTGCGCACCTTCCAAGCCACGCCAAAAGGCGGCTACGGAAGATTCTGTCGTACCACTTGTTAGCAGCAAATCCCAACCTATGATGCTTCGACTACCCGCTGCGAATGGCTCTGTCATTCCTACCTACGGTACACGACAGCTAACAGTCAACCTGAGCAACCGACGACAGTATCTGTGGACGTTCATCATTGCCGATCTTCCCACAGCTATACTGGGTATCGATTTCCTACAACACTATGAATTGCTAGTCGATTCATGTAGGCTGCAGCTAATCGATACTTCGTCGAACAGTAAATTCATGGACTTCCAAGCTCAAACAAACGCGTACCGTATTACAGGTTTGTTTCATTCGCGTGATGACATATTCCACGCTTTACTCGATAACCCCACTCCAGCTAACTAAGCCACTTGAGGAGATTCCATCGGTGACTCACCATGTGGTACACCAAATTGTCACTCTCGGACGATCAGCCACGATGAGACTTCAACGACCGGCACCGGACAAATTAGCTTTCACTAAACGTGAGTTTGACAATTTACTAGCTACTGGTATTATTCGTCTTTCTCACAGTCTATGGGCCTCACCAATCCACATAGTTCGCAAAAAGGATGAGATAAGTTGGCGGTCATGTGGCGACTACCGAGCATTAAATGTAGCAACACGTTTCGATAGCTTTCCCGTCCCCCCACATACACGACATCACTCAAGGGCACGACTATTCATTCTAAGATTAATCTGGTACGAGCATATCATTGGATCCCAGTCGCTCTTGAGGATATCGAGAAAACTGTTTGAGTTCCTACGAACGCCATTTGGATTACGTGATCTCCAGTCATGAAAAAGACCTTCAAGGTTGGTTGACATGGCCGCGTCGAGATAGTCAGAATTGATCGTCTCCAGCTAGCACACGTCGATGACAGTACAGACTACGGTCTCGCGTTCCGGCCGCCGCGTACGCCTACCCATGCGCTTTCGCGACTAATATCCGAATAAACGACGGATACGGTATAGAACTTTACCCTCATACTACACGTTCTCTCTTTTACTTTTTATCCTAAGCACACGTTTACGCCCTGCAGGTGCCGTCGACCTCAGTCAATCTTGGCAGAAGTTGCCCCGATCGCCCAGGAACTTGTCAATGCACTCAGTCGATGATTCGATTCTGAATATATTTGTCATTTGTATGGTTTCGAACCTGGTAGTTATGATCGTTTCTCGTTCATTCTCTTAATCTGGTTCAGTCCTACGTCTGCAGCGTTTTCTGGTCCGAACTCCTACGAACGCAATCTTCAGACCCCGGATAAGAGCCACTCTGGTGTGGCACGAGCAGCAAACGTGACACATTAACGCCGGTACGGTTCCCTGTAAAAGACTTTCGATGACATTTCAAGCTTCATTGGCCGCTTCCTATTTGTCAACCCTTCATCCCTAAAATCAAACGTCAGCCGAACAGCTCTCCTGAACGAAGCGGCTGCTTTAGTGGGATGCATTTACAAAGAGAACGCAACTGGTGAAATGGATACATTTGCTATGGTGCACAATGGTAACGAAGACTTTCGCTGACAACTCAAGCTCCATTGTGGAATGCTTATACGAAGAAAATGCGAGTGCTCAAATAGAAACATTTATTACTGTACCCAACTGTATTATTGATTGTTTTATTGTACTCCTTTTGTTTAACTGTACTACAAACCATTACTTACGTACTTCACGTGACGCTACCATAGCTCGGTCGCCTCCATGGATTCTACTACGCCTCCTACGATAGTACTACAGTAGGTCTCAACATACACAAAGGAAAAAGCGAAATTCTCCGATGCAACACAACATGTACCAACCAAATCACTCTTGATAGAGATTCTTTGGGGGAGTTTAACACCTTTACATATCTTGGCAGCATCATCGACGAGTAAGGTGGATCCAGTGCAGATGTTAGGGCGCGTATTGGTAAAGCAAGGGCTGCATTTCTACAACTGAAAAATATCTGGAACTACAAACTAATATCAATTAATACCAAAATCAGGATTTTCAATACAAATTTCAAGACAGTTCTACTGTATGAGGCGGAAACTTGGAAAACTACTTAAGTCATCATCCAGAAGATACAAGTATTTATTAACAGCCGTCTATGCAAAATACTTCAGATCCGTTGGCCATACACCGTCAGCAACAACCTACTGTAGGAAAGAACAGACCAGATTCCAGTGGAGGAAAAAATCAGAAAGAAGCGTTGGAAGTGGATAGGACACACACTGAGGAAAGCAACCAACTGCGTCACAAGACAAGCCCTCACTTGGAACCCCCAAGGTTTCAAGAAAAGAGGAAGGCCAAGGAACACATTACACCGAGAAATGTTGACAGACATGAAAAGAATGAACAAACATTGGACAGAACTGGAAAAGGAAGCCCAGGACAGAGTTGGTTGGAGAAAACTGGTGGGCGGCCTATACTGAATTGG